GAGAGATCAGCTTGTACTCTCTTCACGGTCCCGCAGAAGGGTTCCTGGGTGCTCCTGGCTTGTTCCCACACCCCTAGTCCACTCTTCTCTTTTTGGCATCCTGAAGTGCCATCTGACCGTCAATTGTGCCCCGTGGCTGGCAGAGCTGCCCCATGGAAGCTCTTGGCAATGTGCAGGGCAGCAGAAGTGGACATGAGGTGGGGTACCTTTGGATGGAGCCAAACAGCAGCCTGGGGTGGGGTGAAATATGGTAATGCTTGTCATCCTGGTGCTCAGGAGGCCCAGGCAGGAAGATCACAATTGCCGAGGTCAGCCTGGGCTACATAGTGAGACCCTGGCTCAAAACACAGACAATAGCTTTAGCAGTCAGCTAGAGACTTGATACTTGGAGTGGGACTCAGGGCCTCACAGGTGCAGGGTGATGCTCACAGGTACAGGGTGATGCTCACAGGTGCAGGGTGATGATGCTCACAGGGGCAGGGTGATGCTCACAGGGGCAGGGTGATGCTCACAGGGGCAGGGTGATGCTCACAGGTACAGGGTGATGCTCACAGGTGCAGGGTGATGCTCACAGGTACAGGGTGATGCTCACAGGTACAGGGTGATGCTCACAGGGGCAGGGTGATGCTCACAGGGGCAGGGTGATGCTCACAGGGGCAGGGTGATGCTCACAGGGGCAGGGTGATGCTCACAGGTACAGGGTGATGCTCACAGGGGCAGGGTGATGCTCACAGGGGCAGGGTGATGCTCACAGGTACAGGGTGATGCTCACAGGTGCAGGGTGATGCTCACAGGTACAGGGTGATGCTCACAGGTACAGGGTGATGCTCACAGGGGCAGGGTGATGCTCACAGGGGCAGGGTGATGCTCACAGGTACAGGGTGATGCTCACAGGTGCAGGGTGATGATGCTCACAGGGGCAGGGTGATGCTCACAGGGGCAGGGTGATGCTCACAGGGGCAGGGTGATGCTCACAGGGGCAGGGTGATGCTCACAGGGGCAGGGTGATGCTCACAGGGGCAGGGCGATGCTCACAGGGACAGGGTGGTGATGCTCACAGGGACAGGGTGATGATGCTCACAGGGGCAGGGTGATGATGCTCACAGGGGCAGGGCGATGCTCATGGGTGCAGGGCGATGCTCATGGGTGCAGGGCGATGCTCATGGGTGCAGGGCGATGCGTACTCCTGTTTAGTGAGACCTCTGCCTCTAAGCTCCAGCCCCAGCTGGACAGGTTGCTGCTCTGTGCCCCTGAGGATAGGATTGTGTGTCTTCCATCAGAGACAGTAACGGTGTTATCAGCTCACTCTAACTGCTGCTGGCTGTTTCTGGAATATTAAGTGACAGTGGTCTACCAGGCCTGGGTGAATAGACAGCAGGTGTGTGTGGGGGCGGGGGGCGGTCTGGCAAATGTAGGCAGGCGTCCCAGGAGCCACTGCAGCCTGGATCACATCACTGGGAGGATCTGTCTCCAGACAATTCTCACCAAGCATTGTCCTCAGGGCTGGGCCCACTATTGCAAGCCTTTAATCCCAGTATTTGGGGAGGCAGAGGCAGAAGGATCTCTGTGAGTTCAAGGCCAGCCTGATCCGCATAGCCAGCTCCAGGCCAGCCAGGACTACACAGTGAGGCCTTTTCTCAAAAACAACAAAAGAGACATCTCCAGTGACCAGGCCTGCTCCACCCTCAGTGACCACGGACCCCCCACCCGACGTGCACGTGAGCCGTGTTGGGGGCCTGGAGGACCAGCTGAGCGTCCGCTGGGTCTCACCACCTGCTCTCAAGGACTTCCTCTTCCAAGCCAAGTACCAGATCCGCTACCGAGTGGAGGACAGCGTGGACTGGAAGGTGCCCGTCCCGCCCCGGACCCGCCCCTGACCCCGCCCCCCGCATCTGACTCCTCCCTCACCGTGCAGGTGGTGGATGACGTCAGCAACCAGACCTCCTGCCGCCTAGCGGGCCTGAAGCCCGGCACTGTATATTTTGTCCAAGTGCGTTGTAACCCATTCGGGATCTACGGATCAAAAAAGGCGGGAATCTGGAGCGAGTGGAGCCACCCCACCGCTGCCTCCACCCCTCGAAGTGGTGAGCACCTCTCCAGGGCTGGCTGGCCCCACGGGAACCCCATTCCAGCCTGTCTCTCTCTTTCTTTTTGAGACAGGATCTCAGGTAGCCCAGGCTGGCCTCGAACTCCTGATTCTCCTGTCTCAGCTTCCAGACAGAGTGCTGGGATGATAGGCAACCACCACCACACTCTTGAGACTGGCCATGTCACACTTGTGGCTCCGGACTCTATTTAGCCTGTCATTTAGCTTGGCGAGGGGTGGGAAGCAACAATGTGACCTATTGTAAGAAAACTGAAAACTACTACACCTTTTGTCCCACACTGAGACCACAGTGCCTTGTGTCTTCCACGTGGGGTCTCTACTGCTAGCCACCCCTCCCGCCCTTGATATAAGGTAGCCTTGGCTGCCTTAATGTTTGGAATCTCCTTGCCTCAGCTTCCTGAGTGCTCAGAAACCAGGCATGAGCCCCCACTTTTTTGAGTCCCTTTCTCAAGACGGGAGGGCTTGAGGTCCACTTGTTTGCCCTGCAGACTTTCTGAGCTCCTGGACATGCATTCCCTTCTATGAAACATGTTGCCTGAAATGTCTGACCACAGTTTCCCTATCTGTCCAAGGCTAGTGCCCCCCTTAGTATTTGCAGGCAGTTGAGGAGGCCCCCATTCCCTAGCCCCTTCCATCGGTCCCCCAAGAGGGAAAGAATGCTTTTTCCCTCATGAGGACACGGAAACTGAACTCACACAGACACATACGCTCAGTTTGGTGATGATGAGATAATGGGGAAACTGAGTCCCGGAGAGAGTCCTAGAGGAAGAGAGGGTCAGAACCAGCGCTTGCAAGCTCTCCAGCCCCCATCCGGGCCCCTCCAGGTTCTGGGCTGGGCGGGAGCGAAGGCAGTCGGGAGGGGCCGAGCCTGGAGCTTTGGCCCTCGCTCGTGCCCAGCACCTGCGATTCTTGCGCGGGAGCCAGGAGGCGGCTGCGTCCGCCCGGGAGACCCGGGAGGCCGGGGGTAGGGTGCGGGGGGAGGCAAGCAGGGGCTGCGGGGGCCGAGGCCGTGCCAGGGCCTGTCAGCGAGTCCCCAGCTTTATTTATGACGTGAAGCCGATGTCCTTATCCGCTGGCCTGCTGGGGGATGGCTGCGCCTGGGGGTTGGACCCGGGGCCGGCCTCCACCTGGCCCTCCCAGCCCACTCCGTGTCACACCCGATCATTTTCTCAGGCTTATCTTGGGGACCTGCCCCTTGAGCTGTGCTTGCTGTCTCCCTCAATTTCTGTCACCCATTTTCTCAGAGCCTTTTCTTTTTTTACACTCGTATAATTAAACAACTTTTAAGATCACTTGTTTTTGTCTGGTGTGTGTGCTTCGTGAGCCTGCGTGCCACGGCACACATGTGGAGGTCAGATGAGAACTGTGAGTAGGCTTCCCCCGCCGTGTGGGGCCAGGGCTGGTGGCCCAGGGCTGGTGGCAAGCACAATCGCCAGCCAGCCAGCCATCCAGCCAGCGCCCCCACCCTGCCCCCTCTGGCTCTCCCTCTCTCTGGAAAGTCGCAGGTAACCCAAACTGGCTTTGACCTCGCAGCGATCCTGCCTCAGATTGCCAGTGCTAGCATGACAAGCTTGTGCCACCATGCTCGGGGGAGGGACCCTCTCTCCCAGTGACTGGGGGCGCAGCCCAGGCTCTGCCTTCCCGTTCTTTGTCTGGTCTCACCTAGTTTCCATTGTTTTCCTTTCCGACCGAATACCCGGTTTTGCCCCCCACTAACTTGGTCCTCCTTGCCCGTCTCCATCGCCATCCCGCTGGGTGATGCCCGGGTCCACACCTGACACCCTTTCCAACTTGCCCGCCGCCGCAGGTCTGGTAGGGGAGGCCGCGGCTGCGCCCGCGTGCGCCCCCTACCGGCTGCGCCCCGACACTGCTCTCCACTCTCTTTAGAGCGCCCGGGCCCGGGCGGCGGGGTGTGCGAGCCGCGGGGCGGCGAGCCCAGCTCGGGCCCGGTGCGGCGCGAGCTCAAGCAGTTCCTCGGCTGGCTCAAGAAGCACGCGTACTGCTCGAACCTCAGCTTCCGCCTCTACGACCAGTGGCGTGCTTGGATGCAGAAGTCACACAAGACTCGAAACCAGGTAGGAAAGCGGGGGAGGTCCGCGCGGGGGCGCGGGAGTCGAGGACAGGCACCGGGTGTGCAGCCTCCACAACACTGCGCTCTTCTTTCCAAGCACAGGACGAGGGCATCCTGCCCTCGGGCAGACGGGGCACGGCGAGAGGTAAGAGGGTCCTGGTGGGTGTGGGCTGGGCAGTCTACAGAGCGCCTCCCGCCCTCAGGTTGCTCAAATCGGAGCTCTCCTCTCACCACTTACTTAGCATGTATGAGCACCTACTGCATACCAGCCTCAGGCCAAGCACTTTACTGCATGATCAACCAAGGCACAGAGAGGGATCCAGGCTTAGTGTGGTCTCTTTTCTGCTCTCAGGCCCTGCCGGATAAACTCTAAGAGCAAGCCATCCTCCTGCCTCTTGCAGACCCGCAGGCTCGCCCCAACTCCTCTGTACTCGCTTCAGGGGAACCGGAGAAACATCACTAGGGGCTGGGGCAAGCACAGTGAGCTTCCACAGCCACAGATCTGGTCCGCATGATGGTCAGCTTGGGTGTACCCCACTGTGGATACGGTTGGAGTAATGACTTTGGTGACCCAGGGTCCTCCAAGAGTCTCCTTAAATAAAAGTTGTTCAGGTCCTCTGATGGTGTGTTTGAGGCCTGTGTGGTCTGGGGGATCGGAACATCCTCCACCTCAAAAACCAGCCCTGTTTTCCAGGACACTAGACTACCTGTCCTCAACTCCTTAGGGGGATGCAAGTCCCCCACCTGCTCTCCCTGTTCCCCTGGGGAACGCCCCCCAGTTGCCGGACTCCACACCCCAAGATACAGAGCTGATGGGAACGCTGCAGAGGGAGAATTCTTTATTTTGTGAGGCGCGTTGGAGGGCAGCCCGGCGGGGCACGACCTCAGCCAGCTGGCGGTCAGGGCTGGGCTGGACGCCATGGGCCTCTTTTCCCATCTTCCTCTGGTCCCTTGGGAGCCGCCCTCACTCTGCAGATTCGGCATCAAACCTGAGTTCCTGCAGAACCTCGCTGATCGCCTCCATGGTTTTAATTACCCTACAAGAGCGGATGGAAACTATAAATAAAACCCAGATGGGGTGAATTAGCTGAGCCGTACAGCCAGCGGGGAGGGGGACTATGGCAAGCCCTGGGCCCTCCTGCCTGCCGCCAAACCTCAAGCCCGGCCTGGGAGCATGCCTGGGAGGCAGGGTGGCTTGGTGGGTCACAGTGGGCTCACGGGAAAGGCCGTGGTGGGGGGAGGGGTGCTTGCCACCAAGAGGTTGGGATGTGTGTGCTTGCCTGCCTTGGAGACCTGCGACAGAACTGCAGGGGCTCACACAGGGGAGCAAGCGTGACTTTGGCCATGTTCAAACTCCTGAAAGCATCGGAAACTGCAGGCGACATGATGATGCACATCCCGGGAAGCATGCATCGAGGAACGCCAGTGTGCAAATCAGAGCGCCCTCTTCCACTGGGCGGGTCAGCGCTGTGCTAACCATGGCCATGTGGTGCCAATCTGAGGTGTTGGGCTAAGGGGCCCACAGGGCTCACTTTATTTTCAGCTGGCGCAACTTTTCAGGGTCCTCCTGTTCTGACACTCCTGGTGTCCCCATCACCTGCAGCAGCGCCACCTGGAGGAGCAAATGGGAGTCACAAGGCAAAAGCCACATTGCCCTTTCTCAGCTGATCAAGACAGAGAAGGCAGACCAGGAGTAGAACCCCGGAGAGAGGAGCCTGAGTGTGTGAGTGTGTGTGTGTGTGTGTGGGGGGGTGATTTTAGGGTTCTCCTGTGGAAGGGCAGTACAGAATATGGACAGAGCTTGGAAAAGCCAGGGATGGAAGGCAGGTGTGGCCCCCAACCCAGAGTCAGGGCAGGGCGTTATAATTCCAGGATGGAAATAAATGTGGAACTCAAGGCAGGGTTTGGGGTTCTGTACTATGAATTCTAGACCAAAGAGCGATGTGGGCGTAGCTTCCAGTGGGCGAACCCTCCCCTACTAGGAGGCTGTAAGAAAAGGGCAGGTGGAGTCTGGGGATCTGGGTCAAGGGACCTAGGAAGTTGTGCGTCCGTTTCAGGGTGTGTGGCGGATGTAGTTTGTGGGTCCCAACAGTGATAACCCAGAGGCAGAGAGACAGCCACAGTGTAGAGGCCACGGGGTTCTTGGAAGAGCTTTCCAGAGGGACTGGAATAATTAAGCGGAATCTGGGAGGGAACTGTAGGCAGACAGCAGACAGCAGGAGAGGGCCCAAATGCACGGAGGTGTGTAGCAGAAAGTAGTGGTCGGGGTGGCCGGGAATGGGCTGTGGCCATGCCCCACCCTGAAGAAGAGAGGTGGTAGTCTTACTGTGGCCAGGCGCGTCTGTTCCAGCTCCTGCAGCCTGCGCACGTGGCGAGCGAGCATCAGCTGCGCGCGAGGCCCCGCTAGTTCCGCTTCCACCGCCAGAACCTCCCGCGAGGCGGCGGCGAAGACCTGGGTCACCTCATGCACGACACTCCGATAACGCGGGAAGTCGTGGTGCTGGCCACTGAGCAGGTACTGGCGGTGAGCTCTGCGGTGGGCGGGGAGGATGCTGAGCCCATGCCCCTGACTCAGACTACGCTCCCTGCTCCAGCCACCTGGAAGACCCACCCAACTTGAAAGCGCCGAACCCGAACCCTACAGACTGGAGACCAGGGCGGACCCATCTCTGCACTCCGAGAAGACAGGGCTCTGGCTGCGGGCACGCCCCCTCCGGGCCACACCCCCACTCCTCCGGGCCACAGCCCAGCTCCACCCAACCCCTCCAGGTGGACTGTTTCTTCCGCGTTTTCAGAACCACCACCCACGGCTCTGCCCCGCCCATCCTAGACCACGCCTCAGAGCACGCCCTGCTCTGGGCGGCGCCTGGCCGCTCCCCTGCATCCGGGACCAGATCTCCGGCCTCCCTGCTCCTCCAGCCACGCCCACAACCGGGTCCTTTTAGCCACGCCCCTAGGCCTGCCAGCTCCGTCCCCGCAGGTCCCGCCCCAGCGGCTGCCCCAGGTCCCACTCGGGCCAGTCTCCCAGGCCCCGCCCCGTCGCCCAGCCCGGCCGGCTCACTGGTCCAGGCGGCGGAAGGCCTGCGCGCGTTCGTTCTGCAGCTGCTGGATCCTCCGTACCAAGGTGGCGATCGGGGCGTCTCTCTGTGGGGCGTGGGGCCATGAAGCCGGGTCCCTGAGCCCATCCCGCCGCCCCACGCCCGTCCTGCCCACGCTAGGGCTCACCCAGGCCCACGGCGGCTCCGCAGATCCGGGGGCGTCCGCAGTAGTCGGCACCTCTGCCGTGGCGGTGAGCATGACTGCGCAATCCAGCGGCGCTTGGGAACGGCCGCAGCGCCTCCTGCCGGCCGGGAGGCCCACGACCGTCGCGCGCGCATCTGGCTGCCTTTGAACTCTTTACTATGGTTGGTTCCAGGACTCTGCATCTGCCGATCCTCGCGACACTCGTAGGTCAAATAGGGTCACAATCGTAGTATAAGGTCACAGGAGTTTCCCAGTGTATTTCGGCATGAGTGATGGTAACGAAGTATAGCTGGGGGCTAGACCGATGTCTCAGCGCCTAAGAGTACTGGTTGCTTTTGCAGGATGCGAAAGACCGAATGCCAGCACTCACACACGAATAACTAAAATCCCAGGAGATCCAGTGCCCTCTCGATTGCATGGGATATCAAGCAGTCACGCAGTGCACACGAAACATTCAGAAGAGCACCAATGCTGTGACTGACGGTGGAGGCACATGGTGAGTGACAGCAGGTTCTCCTGGCACACCACGTTCAAACCCGCACAACCTTTCTAAGGCCGAGTTGAACTGGATACCTGACTTAATCAAGATGTGCAAGATGAGGGCTGGAGAGATGGCTCAGAGGTTAAGAGCACCGACTGCTCTTCCAGAGGTCCTGAGTTCAATTCCCAGCACCTACATGGTGGCTCCCAACCATCTGTAATGAGATCTGGCGCCCTCTACTGTATACATAATAAATCTTAAAAAATGTGGAGCCGGGCGGTGGTGGTGGCGCGCACCTTTAATCCCAGCACTCGGGAGGCAGAGCCAGGCGGGTCTCTGTGAGTTCGAGGCCAGCCTGGGCTACCAAGTGAGTCCCAGGAAAGGCACCAAAACTACAGAGAAACCCTGTCTCGAAAAACAAAAAAAAAAAAAAAAAATGTGGAAGATGAAAACCCTTGCCCCCTTAAGACTACAAAGTCGGGCTGGAGAGATGGCTTAGAGGTTAAGAGCACTGACTGTCCTTCCAGAGGTCCTGAGTTCAATTCCCAGCCACCACGTGGTGGCTCAACCATCTGTAATGAGATCTGGTGCCCTCTTCTGGCCTGCAGGCACACATGCTGTATACTAAATAAATAAATCAGTCAGCTATGCTCACAGGTTCATGTGCAACTTCAGGACCATAACTATGGTGTGTACTGCAGCATGGGCCTGTGATCCCAAAGCCCGGGAGGGAAGTCCCAGGGCTGTGCCTGACATAAGGCTGATCTCCGGATCAGCAGCCTAACCTGCATTGGGTTGGGTGAGCTGCCCCGCCACACAAACCATCATCCCCACACACCGGACTTGTGTGAATGCAAGGTCACTTGGACATGATGAGGACAGAGTGGGGCAGAACAGAAGCTCCCTGCGGCAGTACTGTGGGCCCCACCTTCACAGGGGCTCAGATGACTGAAGTTTTAACCCACTGGTCCACCTTCCTTCCAGAAGCAGCCGTTCAGATGTGCAGATGGGAACCATGTGCTACCAGCTGTGGCTGGCAGGTTGCAGGGCAGCCTGGTCTACATAGTGAGATCCCTTCTCACTGGGAACACGCCTCCCAGCCCATCCCCGAACAGAAGAGCCACGTATGACACCAGTTACTGCTCCAGTCGATGGAAGGGGACTTTATTTGGTCCCGGGGTCACGGGCCAGGTACGGCCCCAGCTTTATTTGACCTTCTTCTTGGGGCGCAGGTTGTTGGTATGGCCGCACTTCTTCTTGCGGCAGTTGACTGCACGGGGGTGCAGGCGTGCATAGCACTTGCGGCAGATCATCTTGTCACAGTTGTACTTCTGGGCGAGCTGACGAAGGGACGGCTCGATGATGCCACCACGCAGGCGCAGCACCAGGTGCAAGGTGGACTCTGGGAGGAGGACAGAAGCTGAGCCCTGCCCCGGCAGCTCCGGGAAGACCTCAAGGAGAAACTCAAGAGGCTTCCCCACATTGCTGCCACAGGCCAGACTTCCCTTAAAGGACTGAAACCAAGTTCATCCACTTTTGTAATGTACTGAGGTCTTAAGAAGGAGCTAAACAACAACGCAGGCAGCTGGGAGCCACCGTGCAGTGCAGGGAGCATTCAGGTCCTGTGGGAACACAGGTCAAAAACAAAACAAAAAAACAAACAAGAAAGTGTCCAGATGTGGCCAGCCTGATACAGTGAGATCCTGCCCCACAGACAGAGCCCGAAAGGGGTCAAATGCTGTGACATCTCTGCAGCCCCACCAGCTCCTTTTCCTTCTAGGCTGCGTCTTGCTGACACACCCCAGAGCTAGGCAGGCAGAGGCTCAACAGGGACAAGGGAAAAAAGCTGCTATGTGACGGTGGCACAGGCCTCAACCCCAGCACCCAGGAGGCAGGGGATCTCTCGAGTTCAAGGCTGGGACTATACAGAGAAACCCTGTCTCAAACAAACAAATGGGGGGGGGGCACAATCTAAAAAGTGAACAGGCATTATGGCTCACACCTGCAACCCCAGCTCTTAGGGCAACACTGTGGGCCAGCCTGGGCTAAAGCTGAGACTTAGCTCAAAACAAAACAGGAGTAAAGGCTTGGCAAGTGAAGGCACACCACAGAGGGCCCGGAGACCTGGGTTCAATTCCTGAAGCCCACACACGGGTGGAAGGTAACTGACTTCTCACTTCCGCACACGGCTGCCACACACACCCGTGGCAAATGAAAAGGGACAAGACATGCCACTGCCAGGCGACTGGAGCACCACTTCCGGGGCCCACCCCTTACCTTTCTGGATGTTGTAGTCCGACAGGGTGCGGCCATCCTCCAGCTGCTTGCCGGCAAATATCAGCCTCTGCTGGTCTGGTGGGATGCCTGTGCACAGGAGAAACCAGGCTGGCGGCAGCTCCTTCCTGTAGGAGCTGGGACCACCCCAATCACTCAGAGGAAATCAAATACGGACTCTGACCGTTCCAGAGCCGGGTCAGCACTCCCATCAATACCACCCGGAGCAGCCCAGCCCACCTTCCTTATCTTGGATCTTGGCCTTGACATTCTCGATGGTGTCACTGGGCTCGACCTCAAGAGTGATGGTCTTGCCCGTCAGGGTCTTCACAAAGATCTGCATGTTGGCGTCTGCTAAGCAGAGGAAGGAGACCCACCAGTTACGTGTTGCTTGTGTGTGGGTCTCTGCCTGAGCGGGCCCGGGGAGGCTGGCTATTGCTTGCCTACCTGCCCGAACTGCCCTCCAAAAGACCCAACCCGACTGTGGACTTAAGCGCGGTACTCCCCCGCAGCCAGGCTCAACCTTCCCAGCCAGCGCCACCGGGTGGGACGGGAAGCCCACACAAGCGTCCCGCTCTATGAAGGGCCTCTCCCCTCCCTGCAACTCAAGGGCCCAACACCAAACACCGTCTTCTCGACGCGGCAGGCGGGACTCAGCGTAACCGACTGCCCCGCACCGCCACGCCGAACCCAGGCAGTCCTCGTGGTCCTCGGGGCCCCGAACCCCCACGGCCCCCCTGGAACCAAACCCCGATCATCTCTGGACAGGCCCAGGAGTCGGGCCGGAGCGCCTGTCCTTCCGCCGGGGCCGCGCGTGCCCGCCGCGCGCCCAGGTCCCCGGCCGAGCCCCGCCGGGCATGCGCGGGGCCAGAGCGGCGCCCACGAACCCCCACACTCCCCTCGCCGGTCCCCGCCGCGCCGCCGCCCCGGCGCAGCCGCCACCAGCCCGTCAGCGACGCGGCCACCACCAACCTGCTCCGCCGCCTCGTTGAAGAGAAAGAGGACGGCGGAACCGGAAACCCCCGAGTCTCCTCTCAGAGCGCCTGCGCACTGAGCACGCTGCGCGTCGACGTCACAATCCACGCCGCACGTCGTTCCCGCCCCAGGCTTCGTCCGGCGCCATGTTGGGTGCTGGCAAGGGAAGCCGAACAGCGGTCGGACTGTCAGGAGCCGCTTCCGGGTGGAGCTGCGCCACCAGGCGTGAGTGACGGGCGCCCCTGCGGGAGCTTCCAACGCCGCCTTCCCGCGTTCCTCAGCCAGTCGCGACACGCTTTTGTTTCTTTTAGGAGGTGTGGCTGGCATGGTGGCACTGGCCTTTAATTCTAGCAGATGGGAGTTCGAGGCCAGCCAGTGCTCCATAGTGAGAGTCAGTCTCAAAAACCAAACAAAAATAATGCAACCACTAGACCCTGGAAAGAGGGGACTTAAATTTCCCGTGAGCTTGGTGGTGTGGATCATCTTGTTTCTCGAATACTCCCCAGGGCATCAGGCTAAAAGCAAATGTAAGCGGAACTATCTGGGAAGATACGCCCCCCCCCCTTTTTTTTTTTTGAAAATATATCTTCCCCCATACAATATCTTCTGATCAGGACTTCGCCTCCCCCGGGTCCTCCCAGATTCTCCCCACCTCCCTAACCACACAAACCAACACCCTTCTTCACCTCTCTCAGAAAGCAGACATATAAAATAAAATAAAAACCAGAACAGGACAAAACAAACATTAAGAAATAAAACAGTCGAGGCAGCCTGGGCTACAGAGCAAATTCCAAGACAGGCTCCAAAGCTACACAGAGAAACCCTGTCTCAAAAAACCAAACCAAACAAACGAAATAAAAACAAAAAGCACAAGAAACACAGATACACACATTCATACACACAGAGATCCCATAAAAACAGAGTTGGAAACCATAATATACAACTAAAAGGCAAAAATTCCCAGACAAAATGTAAAGCAAAACCCTCCAAAATTACCATTGAGTTCACTTATGTGACCTGCCCTTACAGTATGGTTTGTATGCCTAGAAAGACTCCATTAAGAGAAGACAAATTTTTCACCTGTGAGTGGTTATCAATTGGAGGTAGCGTCTGGGTTAGGGATGGGGCGTGTGTCCACTCCCTGTCATCACTGGGACCCGGCCTGACTTAGCCCTGTGCAGGCCCCATGCACTGGGCCAGTCTCTGTGAGTCCATGTGCATTGGCCACGCTGTGTTTAGAGACCTTGTTTCCCTGGTGTCCTCCATCCCCTTAGATTTTTACACTCCTCCTGCCTCCTCTTCTGAAGGGTTCCCTGAGCTCTGAGGGGACGGATCTGATGGAGACTGCCCATTTGGGATTGAGAGTCCCAAGGTCTCTCACTTTGCGCTCTGTCCAGCTGTGGGTCTGTGTTTATTCCCATCTGCTGCAGGAGGAAGCGTCTCTGATGGTGGCTGAGCAGACACTGACCTGATTCCCAGTCTGGTAGAGTAGCTCCTGGGAAGAATTTTTTTTTTTTTTTTTTTCCAAGACGGTTTCTCTGTGTAGTTTTGGTTCCTGTCCTGGAACTCACTCTGTAGACCAGGCTGGCTCTGCCTCCCGAGTGTTGGGATTAAAGGCGTGCGCCACCAGCGCCCGGCTGGGAAGATATTTTTAATGACTCAAAAGGTATCTATGTTAATTTGGTTTTTCCTACTCGTTAGTGCACCCCGTGTGGAGTGCAGTGTCTGCAGGGGCCAGAAGAGGGCGCTGGAATCAACTGCCGTTCAGGGCATCCAGTCTGGCGTTTTCTTACTTTCACTGATTGTATCTTCAGTGCTGGAGCTGGCCCCTAACTGGGACCTAGTGCCTACTTGTCAGGGGCTCTGCAACCAGGGTATTATGTCCTGGAAGGCAATCATTTAAAAGTGCTCCAGGGAGCTGGGCGGTGGTGGCGCATACCTTTAATCCCAGCACTAGGGAGGCAGAGGCAGGTGGATCTCTTTGAGTTCGAGGTCAGCCTGTCTATAAAGGGAGTTCCAGGACAGCCAGGACACAGAGAAACCCTGTCTCGAAAAACAAAAACAAAGAACTGCATGGCATGTGGAGGCAGGTGTCTGCAATCCTAGCCATGTCAAAGTAGCCATCCATCAGAAACAGTTTTCCAGAGGCCGCCAGGCCCGCAGCTGTCCTTGCCAGGGACAGTGATGTCTCAGAGGTGGTCTCAGAAAGGCTTGGCGCTGCTTTGCCCTCCAACCTCACGGGGTGCCTGTGGCACAGCCCTGTTTTGGTAGTTCACAGGGTTTGGTGTTTGGGCAACCCCCTCCAGCAGGGCCCCCGGTGACATCCAGAATCTGCCCATGCTCTGGGGTGTGAGCCCCAAAACAGACGCAAGCCACGGCATGCAGTGTTCCCTTTTAATAAGACTTTACCGGTAACTTCCCAACAACATCTGTAAACATCGATACAAAAATATTCCATTCAGTTCCTGGAGACGCCTGCTGGGCCTGTGAGAAACAGCTCCCCACAGTCAAGGCTGCCTGTCTTGAACCTTCTACCTCTCCCAGAATTCAACACGACAGGAAAAAAAGTACTCCACAGAAGGCAGGGAGACCAGAGTTAAGTCAGCAGCTGCCAGCAAGTGGAGACAAGCTCAGCCCTGCAGGCACCTTCCTCCTCCAGGGGGCCCCACCATGGTGTGGGGGACATCTGGCTTTGGTCTGGGGACTTTTAGAAGTACTGTTCAAAGCTGGCCCAGGCTGAGCTCAAGGATACCTGTAGCCAGCCTCACTGCCCCAGCTGGGGTGCATGTCCTGGCATGGGGAAGTCCTGCTCTTAGGAGGAGGGGCAGGAATTAGGGGCCCTGCCTATGACAGACGGAGCAGCAAAGCTGACTGACCCCAGGAGGACCAATGCTGCCCTGAGCCTTTCTGGGATGGTGGGAAGGGGGCTATTCTCCATGTGTCTCTTCCTCGTCATCTGTCTGGCTGTGGCCATTGATGGCAGGGGAACCGGGTCGAATATGTGATAGGTCCTCAAAGCCAGGACTGAGAGATGGTGAGACAGTGTCAGGGCTGGTATCACAGGAGCCTGTGCTCTGCTCCGAGGTGGCGATGGTCGTGGTGATACTGGGTGGAATGGGGTCTTCATCTTCGTCCTCCAGGAATGAACCCTCCGGGATGTCTGGGGAAGGAACCCCCATGCTGGTCAAGTCACAGATCCAGGTTTTCCTGTAAGGGTGGCCCTGAAAACTCTTTCCCACCCATGGGGGCATGACTCAGCCCATTTTACAGAGGAGGAAACTGAGGCCTGGGCAGGTGAGTGAGGCTGACTCAGAATGAGCATGCCCATTTGTCGTTCAGTATGGGAGACTGAGGCAGGAGGAACACAAGGAATTTGAGGCCAGCCAGGACTACACAGTGAGAGCCTACCTGAAAACTTAAAAATTGAGACAAAAACAACAAATGCCCAAGTTAGGCTGGCACAGGTAGGAGGCTGGGTTTGGCTCCCTCTGCAGCAGCAAGGCATCCCCAGGCCAAGCACCACACCTGCCCTGCTTCGTCTTAGCGCTCTATGGTGGAGGAAGGAGGGTCAGTAGCTCAGGGTCATCTTCAGCTACATAAAGAATCTGAGGCCAGCTTGGGCTACATGAGACCATGTCTCAAAAACACAAAGCAAACAAAAGAAACCCCAGGAATCCACCTATCACTGGGGTGCAGACATGCCCACTCAGCAGATGAGGTGACCTCAGAGAACCCTTTGAATTGCTGGGGTCCCAGTGATGTTACAGCCATAGGCCTGAGAACTTGATTCTTCTAGGCCTTCTGGCGCCAGCTCACTCACACCCCAGATAGCATGGCTTCCCTCTGGTGCGAGTTTCCCCCTTGTGAAATGGGATGTTCAGTCCCCACCTCACCGGGGCTTAGGGGTGACAGCCTGGCTTACAGGGCCCCTGGGTTGAAGATGAAGGGGCTGTCACCATTTATTCCTCCCACTGCAGAGGCGTCTCCACCCACCACCCGTGGGACCCGGATGGGTGCTGGCAGCAGTGGGGGTGGGGGGCGGGGCCACACTTACGACTGAAGGCCTCTGGGTGCTGCCGGGCCAGCTTTCCCTTCAGTGTCCTGTGGGGAAGGGGACAGACAGGGATGAGCCACAGCAGGAACCCGGCTGGGCTCTGGGCACTTGTCTCCTGCCGCATCGTGCCCACGGTGCCTGCCTCTAGGCTTGGTTCTGGCACCATCCTGGGGGAGGTGGGGGGCTGGGATCACGACAGGAGGTGGCCACCACCTTGCTGCTTCCTGTACCTCATTCTTTCTCTTCTGGCTCCCAGGTGTTGGGGTCAGAGCTCTACACTGGGCCTCCAGTCCACCTTGTGTGTTCAGACAGGGCCTCCGTGGACGAGGAGCTGGGTATCAGCTGGGCTGCCCGGCCAGCAAGCCCCAGCCCTCACTGTCCCTGCCTCGCCAGCACAAGGGTGACAGTCATCAGCCACTGCGCTGACATTCCTTTACAACTCATTTTAACTCATGTGTGTGTGTGCGCGTGTGCATGTGTGCACACGTGTGTGTGTGCATGTGTGTGTGTGTGTGTGTGTGTGTGTGTGTGTGTGTGTGTGTGCACATGTGCAGATCCCCAAGGCTGACTCCAGTTCTCTGGAGCGACCTGACAGGGCAGGAGAACCAACCCCAGTCCTCTGCAGAACAACGCACTCTTCACCACTGCCAGCCCCCAGCCTCTGCGCCTGACTTTTTTCATGTGTTCTGAGGATTTGAACTCAGGTCCTCACAATTGCTCAGCAAGTACTTTACCCACTAATTCCTCTCCCTTTTTGTTTTTTAAGATAAAGTCTGGCTGTGTAGCTCAGGCTGGCCCTGAACTCACCAGTGTAGCTCAGGCTGGCCCTGAACTCACCATGCAGCCCAGGACCCTCCTGTCTCACCCTATGCGTGCCAGCGTGTGCCGTCACCCCAGCTGGCTTTATTACCTTATGAACTGGCTGCTGGTTGTTCTGCCCTGACGCCCTGCACTTCACAGGCAGCGGAGGGGCTTGAGCGCGCACAGCCTCCACCCTGACTGCAGTCAGCCTGCTGTCGTGGCAAGCACACAGCTGAGTCACGGCACATGACGCGCTGGA